ATGTGCATAACGCAGCAATTGAGTAATGAAAATAACGCGTGCTGAGAGGGCAGAATATTTCATCGATAGGCCAGGCAAGGAATATTACAAGACGAGGCTCATCCACAATGTCTGAATTATAAAATTTGTTGAATGCTTAAGAAATAATTTTAAAATAACCCGGAAACTATGTTTAAAAGGAGTTCAACTCCTGCATATCATTTGCCACAGTCCTCGACTCCTCGCCTATGATATAAATTTAGATTAAAGCAGATAATTTGCAAAATATATAAAAAGTTCATTTATCTGCACAAAATATCATGAGATATTATTTATCCGAATCCCGAAATTATCTTCTCTTAATATATATTTTGGGTAAAATATTCGTAATGTATAATAATCGAACAACCAGCATTTGGATGAATACTAATCTTATCACACTTCTATATATACTACAAGCGTTCTAATCAAACATTTTCCACGCAGCACCAAAAAACGTCCAACAATATTTACACATTCACCCAGCAATGACCCACGATAATAATAAATTTAGTTCCCTGTATACCACTAGTCCCAATAAATTTAGTCCCCTATATAGCACTGGAAATACTGCCATAGCAATAGAATGAAGGCAGCAGCTATGGCGCAATTAACACGGCGAGGCGCCGGGTGATGCGGGCGTGAAGGCGAGGTGCGCAGGAAGGCCGCCTTGAGGATATATTGCTGCGCCCGCATCACGGCAGCCGCTGATAACACATGACCTCTACAGCACAAACTCGTCTACTTTCTCGGCACCTACGGACCAAGGTTGTAACAAAAGCACTGGCTTCTTGTTAAATAATTATACTACGTTCATTTAGAAACCATAAGTTAATTCATACGAACAACGGAATCGTGATATTTCAATACTAAAATGAGTCAGTGGTAGTTTTCGATTCGACGATATTTTTTGTTTCGATTGTGATTCAGCAGGGATGTTAGTGATTTTCTACGATATTTTTCAGTCAGAATTATCCAGTAGAACTTAGTTTAATTTAATAATATTTCTAAATAAGAAGGCGGGTGATAAATGGCAGGAAATGGAATTTATTTAGAATTTCAAGTCAATACAAACGGAAAAGTCGATTTCACGGCAGCTCAAGCCAAAAACTTGAAATTCAATAGTTTCCAGGCCGGGTTATGATCGTGCAACCGGTACCATTTGTCAAGCCTAATCGCCAGTTCGTTAGCGCCCGGTCCAATTTTTCAAGCCTAAAACGCGTGTTCGTTTTAGAGGACCTGATCACTTGCTGGCTTGTGTTGATCTCAGTTCATCGCACGCGGCGGAGTTGAGAAAAGATGGGGCGCAGGACTTCAGGAGTGCCACTCTGGGCAGCGCGCCGAGGTGGTAAATTAGAAATAATAAGAGGCTGGCAGTGCTGAGTGACATGCTCTCTAAAGTTGTATACTCTTAAACACGTGCTAATGCCCTACCCATTGAGAATTTAACTTTACTTTGTGTAAACGATTCACAAATCATCAGAACGTTGAATAATTATATCTGAATGCAGTTAATGCAAGCTCAGGTAAGGCAAGTGGCTTGTGAGTAGTGATCAATAAAATAATTTAAAACAAAATGGGTTTCTAATTATTTTATGTCTGTAAACAACCCGGTGAAATACAAGCATAACCTCTCAATCGTTCGCTCCAGCGTGGAGCGTAACAGCTTCAATTATCAACTCATAGAACCATATGACCAGTGAACTGGTCTAAGCGAAGTTAACGAACTGCTCGAGCAGCGCTTACAAATGCCATACCTGTACCAAATACGCTGGGCCAGCTGCACACTAAATCTCCACATCCCCTAAACACGCGATCAAGGTCGTCGTAATTTTATTAATCTACTTAAAGATGAAAAGTTCGGAGCACCATGCAGCAGGAATTTTAAGTTCAAAAGTAATATTTATCAATAATGATGTCGATTTACTCGACCAATCCGTGCAGAAAGGAAATCAACATACAAAATGGAAAATTACAAGTGCTTTCGGATACTGATGATTCGGATATATAGCTAATTACATAAAAAAACTCACAAATTCATGAGAACGAAGGCAGAATAAAAATATTTTCTTTCAAAAGGGTTCGCCACAGATAGACTTCATGGTTAATCCTAACCACAGGTAGCGGTAGTAGGAGACTAGGAGTTCATTTTTCAAAGTGATTTTATCTGCCGACTTAGAGGTGAAGCAAGTCGATGAAGACGTGGTACTACAAACATATATATACTACTTATTTATAAGTAGTTCAGATTTGTTCTTAATCGATACCGCTACTACATTCAGAGTATCAATAAGGTACTGAGAAAAACCGCAAACAAAAATGAATGGCAGACGTGCTAGTGTAACGAAACGCCGGCAATTAGGGCCTCGCAATGAATGGTCGTCGTACGTCGTAGTGCCAGCGTCAGGAATCAGGATGCGATAAACCAGCACCGACTGCAGCTCGTTGAACAAACGTCACTCGTCAGACTACGCTTCAGTGTTTAACAGCGTTTTCACTATTAATATTTCCGTTTATACAAGTGATTTCAGGTAACATTTGCCATCAAAAATTGATGAAGCAAGCATAGTGTCAGTAGTTCCTCGAAAGTCGCTAAAATATGACCATACGATTATTATTATTTACACAGACATAGAATTGAATGCTAAGGGTTTTACTAACTAATGGATAGCGGTTGAAACAATCGACTTATGAGCAAAAGCATGGAAATCACGATAAAAAAATTGAATACAACCGTGTGAAATATTATGACAATTATTATTCTCACAAACTCGTCAGTTCTGTCGCATGGAAGTTGGATGGCTGAGAGCGATTAGCTCTAGGCTCTAGCCGAGGATTTAAATAAGACTTTTCTGAATATTTAAAATAAAAACAGCATGAAGTACAAATTGAAATATTTTCGTCACTTTCGTCAACTAAATTACTCGAAGTTTGAATGCTTGTAGAAGAATTAAAATTTTAAAATAGTGAGCCAATCTTCACAAACGGCAGCGACGCCAATTTTAGGTGCTTGCCGCGGCATCACAAGCAGCGACTGCGGTCGGACACCATACAAGACGACAACAAAACGAACACTTCACTAGGCTCGAGAACTGAGATCGCCTAAAACAACATTTAGTTGCTAACACTCTGTTATGATTGATGATAACGAACATGTCATGCGACCAAGTTACCAACGTTGTACTTGTCCAGACGCCTAGTATCCTTCCAGTTCATGAAACTTCGAAGCAAATTTGAAGATACCAGTTTCATTCAAGAGCAATAACTTTCTACCAACAACGCACAGTACATGAAGTATGAGCTACTTACGAAAAGTATTGATGCAACAGTATAACTTGTTGATATGCTTTCATACTTAAGCAACTAACAGCTGATCACACCATATGTAAAAGGCGCGGTAACACCGTTCCGCGCAAGAGCACCACAACAACCCACGCCAACTGCTCGCGGCACACTGAGGATTATGGAGAATATTAGAGATCAGTGAAATAGAGTTTGCGCACTCGAGCGGCACAAACACGTTCTAGCTCGCAGCTCCTTCCCCATACAAAATCCCATGTTCGAGGCAGCTAACTATGAGATCGTATATTTTTAAACATATTTCAGCTACAAATAATTATTTGAGATTATATACTAGTAGACTTGAGAGTTATGCTGCCATTTTGAGTTCAGGGATATATAGGTGCATTTTGGATGCGTTTTTTTTCATGAGTAAATTCGAAACGCGTTTTTCATTGAACACTAACTGCTACTTGTACGCCAATCTTGTCATGGTTAGAACTTTTGCTAACCACCTTGGCATAAAAAGCGGGTACAATTGAATAATTATCAATGAAAAGTCCGTATATGTCATAGGTTCGTTTGATCATAGGTTCGATAGACCTCAGCTGGGAATAATTCAAGGTAGTTAATTAATATTATTTTGGCTGATTTTGTTTGTGGTTATATGAAATTTGATTAATAAGTTTGAATATGTACAGCGTGCGGCTTACACCGGCTGTAATGATTAGGGCCAAGAGCGTATTACGGACACAGCTAATCATAGTAAAACTAAGTTCAACCACAACTAATTAACAAGTCATCAGACAGCAGCAGAAGAGTTACAGAGAAGTACTGTACGATTAATATGTCAGCAACATCGGTGTTATGGCCATGGAGCGACATAGATCATCTTTCAGAACTCCAACAAACTTCGACAAAAAAAAAGTACGTCAATCTGATCCGTTGCATCAGTTAGACGTGACCGACCCAGCCTCTAGAATTAGATCAAGAAGGCGATACATATTCCAGCAGGTATAAGTTGAACATGCTCATAGAATTCCAGCATACGAGATTGTCAACTTTAATATTACATTACTTTCTTTAGCTTTAGTTGGTTTCCGGTAGCATTATAAGTTTGTTCAGAATTGTACTAGACCTCAGGGCCTCGTTTTACCAATGGCCAAGTGACAAATGTGTTAGTGATAAATAGACGCTACCCACTCAGTACCCAGGTCATGTAGATCCGTTATTAGCCTCTGTAAGTAAGGAAAATAAATGTACAGTATTTGCTTCTGATCTTCAATATTGAATTAGAAGCTAACAATAGCGGTGTCAGCGTTGATTATGACATTAGGCCTGTCGCTGGCTCTGAAAATCGCAGAATTGCACAGGTTGTTACGGGTCTCGAACATGCAACCAAAGTCAATGCTTCAATTTTGCTGTGCTCAACCTCCCTGCCTCCTCGCAGATTTTACCAGAGCTGTCGCAGGTAGTTGGGGTCAAACCAGCAACTCAGTGCCTTAATTTTGGTACTCAAAACTGTAACCACTGGGCTCGAGCTGACTTCTTTATAATTTTCTTTGTATTACATGCCGGAAATAACAGAAATAAATTAGAAATTTAGAGGCTAACCGGACGCCCATAATTTATGATTTCTCAATAGATTCATCAGTACACAGAAGACTTCAGCTGCAGAATAGAATGGCTTACAGAACAAACGCTTTCAGTGAGAAAATGTATTATGATTGCAAAGCATAGAAAGCTTCAGCAAAATCTAACAGATTTTAAACACTCTCATCTGACGGCAAATAAGAATTTTTCGTCATGAAAATACGACATTTTGGTTTCCGATAAATGAGCGCCAATAGGCTCAACTTCCTGCTGTTCAATGACAAATTAAAGTGCATTGAAATTAATGATAGTATGACAGGTAAAGAATTGCAAGCAAAATAATAGTCGCGCAAGCTTCTCAAAAACCAGCATCAGGCAATAGTGACCAACCTCAGTGCCAGTAATGTCACTAAAACTCACACCGCTAGTTCATATAATCTAGCTACACTGACATAACACAACAAACGCCAATTGAGGTTAACAGCAAAGCGAAGGTTAGATGGAAGCAATGTCATGGCAGGACCGCCGCAACTCTGTTACTTTACCCTAATAAGAATAGCATAGGATTTCCTTATAGACATATTTAACAGGGAGCTGCTGGATAGTGGGATAGACGTCTCAATGAAGATTATTATTGATGTGAACAAGGAATTTAAAAGCAAAGAAAGTTCACCATTTCGATATTGAAAACGTGAATTCGATTGATCGAAATGGCGAATTTGCTTGGCGTTTTCTTTGATTTTCAATTCCTTGTGAACTTGCGATATAAGCAGACAGATAATATAAGTAATGATGTAAAGAAACCTTACACGACACGACCTTGGTATACAAATATACTTAAAAATTACCCAACCAATTGCATATTTAACATGAGGGCTTTCCTGCACACCATCTTTAAATAATATAAAGAGAGCAGATTATCACACGTTTCCACTAATACTAAAAGCGCATATAGGAAGACACAACACTGCCTTGCCGTTAATACAACAGAGAAGATCAATATATAAGTTGTAGAATTAAACCTCAAAATCATTCCAACCACAAATGCTCTATATATGGTCGCCATTAACCTTACAATTCGAAGCTTTAATAAAAAAAGTTTGGTACAAATGTTATTTCAAATTGCCATGGCTGGCATCTCATCCGTAGCAAGTGTTCGTGAAATAGTTTGATCATCACAAACTATTTCACATCAGAAACTCATCACACGTACGTCCAGCAGTGGAGGGCAACAGCCGGCGCTGTCACAAGAGTTTGCCTGGCGTCGCACATGTATAACTTGGTAGCACCCATACCGCAATCACCAGCACTCCCAGACCCACAATATAAGTAATCACAATAAAAAAAATCGTTGGTTTTTCACTGGTAAAACATCAATAGAAAGACACAAGTACGAGCAACTTGCTTGTATTTCAAACTCTAAAAGCAACGTTGCATCTCAGGTTTTTGTAGGCACCTAGTCAGGTTGAAGTTATAGGAGAGTTTTTGCGAAAGTTTAGCATTCCTCAGAACTACAACAGCAACTTAAACTTATGGCCAACTCAATATGAAACCACATAATAAAAACCCAAGAAAAGAAACATTCAACAAGACTTTGGTGACGAGATTTTACACAGCCGACGTTAGAAATGACTTGATAACCCAAAGCATGTTCTACTCACCCTTGCTATCTAACGAGAAACCGACAAATACATAAATACAGGTTAAGAATCCTTTAATATCAAGTCTATCCATAACATAAAAGAATGTATATAATTCAAATTTAAATCCTGTAGCTTATACTAATTTCCGAAAATTCTAATATATATAGAATTTAATCTCTTTTGAAGCTGTTCTATGTTGGTGTCAATTGGAAGACCATTGCAGTGCTGCTGCTGCTGACGCTTGTTGTTAATGCCAGAAAATATCAGCGGCATTACAGGCAATGCCAAGAGCATCTCAACTTCACTAGGAATAACAACACGAAAGGACTGGTTAGAAGACCGCCTCTCAACAGAAATGCCCGAATCATAGGATATGCTTTACAAAAAGACACACAGTGGGAAATAACAAATAACTCTTCTGTTGTTGAAGGATAAAAAATGAACTAAAAACCACAACATGAAGAACCGAAATGTAAAAAAAACGATGCTTCCATGAACAAGTGAAGGAAGACAAAAATGAATGCCTTGAGATCAGCTAAAATATTAGTAAGAAAGATAATTCTGTCCAATAAATTTCCTATTGCTGAGCATGGCTCCAAAAAGTTTGAAGATGAAGATCAAGGAAGAGAGGATAGAGTGCCTGTCATGCACGACAGCAACTTAGGCCAGCACCGTCACATCCGAGACCTAAAACTAAAAACAAAAAAATCTACAGAATGTCTGACAACAAGATCGCGATGTCAGGCAGAGGGCGTGTTTATAAGTGGAAAAGAAGAGGCAATTGCTATTAGTTTCATTATCAGGAAGGCAATTATTAATAATGTAGATTATGCGAGGCAATTGTTATTAGTTTCATTATTAGGAAGGCAATTAATGATAATGTAGATAATGCGAGGCAATTGTTATTAGTTTCATTATTAGGAAGGCACTTAATAATAATGTAGATAATTTGAGGCAGTTGTTGGTCGTTCGTTTCATTATTGGGAAGCTCACCGTCAGCGACGAAGTGCTGAATTCGATCTCAAATGTTTATTAATAATAACAATTCATTACATTACCAAGAACCAAAGTTGGAAGCAGAAACAACTTTGGTCACAACAGACGCACACAAATTGGCTCATCCAAAATATTTTGTTATCAATGGGAATTTATAGGTCTATAAAAATATCATTATAAAACTTTAAAAAAATACTTATGTAGAATATAAACGATATAAATATATCCGCAGGCATCAACCAGTAAGAGATTCCAGACACCACAACTTTCCTCCTCCGCTCGAGACGGAGAAATGGGCCTCTAAACATGACGCGTTTCTTAACATTGCTAATTTATTTTCATAATAGAGAAAAAAGGCCAGTCAAATGACATCTGCAGCCTCCAGTCTTATATCAAAAGGCGTTATTTGTAAAGATATTGCAGTATAAATAATGTATTCCTTATTCAAATCGTTGTATTAAATTTAATTTTGTTGAGATTTTAAAGGCAATGAACAAGAGAATAACGCGTGTCTCCATGATACGAGTAGCGCTCACTCAACGATCCCCTGAAAATACTACAATCAGGATACTGGGATGTGCGAAATATTATTAAATGAGCACGCGCAATCATCTAATTATATTAAAGAATTAATAATTGTGTCACATAAACTGTTATAAAGCAGAGACGGGCATCAACTTAATAGCGGAGAGAATGTGTGGAAATAAGGAAGATATTTCAAGATATCAATGTGTCACCGACCAAAACCGTCTCGAGGTAACCGAAAATATAATGTAGTAGAACATACTTGAGAAATAAAATTGGAAAATTCGTACTTTATGTTAAGGTAATGCTTACAAAAAGAGAGATAACAAAGTTCACTGTACGCAGTGAGAACTGCAGAAAAAGCGAAAAAATGTTACGTCCCTTGGCTCGTCCCTCGCTATCCCTTGTGTATGCCAAACCACTCAAGAACGACAAAACATACAAAATATAGGCTATAATCTGGCGAACAATGAAATTATGTTTAATAAAAAATACCAAACCCCGCCTAGCAAACATAAGAAACAAAACGTTAGCTTGCATGCGGCACTAGTATTGACCAGGTATCAAAGCCAATGACCAATTCAACAAAATCTCAAAGCTTCAGTACTTCACTTTGCTCATGATGCTGAGGACTTAAATAAAGCTAAGAGCTTAAGCTCTTCTGGCACGGAGTTCTTTGAGTTGAAAATGAGATAGAATGTAACTGTCAGATGGACTTTCCTAATTCATCAAAAATCATATACTGGTTTAAGGGCATTAATTTAGGAATAAAATGAACAAAGATAGCCTCTATAGTCTATATTGATAAAATGGTCATTTAGAGCACAATTTTTTAGCCCATTTTTCAACACTGTGGTTAGTTAAAAAAAAAACATTTCCATCAGACTGGTAAGATTGAACATGACAGATGAAATGAAATAATCAGCTTGACCTTCAGAATAACGTTCAAATCTTAGCATAAAATTAAAATATCATTTAGGTTATCATTAATTCTAGAATTGGCTAAATTGAACCACATATTGTACTTGTCTTTGGTTATCAGGAATAATACAAAACTTGAAATAATGAAATTGAAATAAGTATGGCGCCAAAGTTACAAATTATTTGTTGGTAAAAAAGTAAACGAATCAGAAAAAAAAGTCATTAAAAGAGAAGGTCGGATCATCAAGACTCAGGACTTGGGTCATCAAGACTCGGGACTTGGGTCATCAAGACTCAGGACTTGGGTCATCAAGACTCAGGACTTGGGTCATCAAGACTCAGGACTCAGACCATCAAGACTGCGTGTCGACCGCCAGCAGCGTCTGTGTGTCGTCGGGCAGGTCCGGGCGCGCGGCGGGCCAGCGGTCCGCAGGGTCGGGTGAGATGGAGCGCACGCCTGCCCGACAAAGCTTTACATTCAATGGATGTAAATAATTTTAATGAGCTAATCAATGTAAAATGCTATCCATTAATAAGTAAACCAACGTAACGCAACAACAGAATTTAATGGTAAATTCATCAACTACAGTGTGTGTGCAAAAAGCATCCGACACAAAGGAAAAACTGCGGAAAGGAAACCTTAACGTTTCCAAAATTGCAATTAACAAATCAACATTTAATGATATTGTTCTTTTTATATGATATTTGTATTTCCTATGCAAGTTTATATAGAACAGTTTTTGTTCATATTATTTTGTTGAATAAGCTTTAATTAAATAAAGTTTCTCCTTTGTGTCGTATAATTTTTGCACCCACTGTATTTTTCTGCGGTTTAAAGCCATCAATATTTTATAGGCCAAACGAAGAAGCGTACAATGATCATATGTCTGGAGGGACAAAGGAAGTGAGAACGCTATGCATTGTGCAATTGCGTTAAACACAACCTGGCAGCGGTGAAGATTATATAACAACTGGTCTAAAGCCAGGCTCTCACGACTTAAGAAATAAGTTGGCCTTAGCTAGATGATGCTTACCGTACTTTGATTTCTCCAGCCTATAAATATTACATATGACCTTACGCTAAACTGATTAATCAAGTGAAGAATAGAGACGCTTTACATTTTTCTAGCATTTACCGGAAGATTTTAGGCACAAGGCATGAAAACATTGTAACAGAACTTATTGAACTACTCAATCGAAATGATATAAGGTAGAAAACACGTAACTGGATTGTATGTTATTCTCATTTGTTTAAGATGAGAACATATGCGAATAAGACGTGAATGAGAAGCGAGGGAAAAGCGCACTAGCCTCTTGAAGCTTATTAAATATAAACTTTAAACCGTCGGTATAGAAAACTCGCCCACAATTAGTAATACTGAAGATATTGAATGCAGTATCGATGCATATATTTTACATATAAAAACCTCTCCCAATATTAATAAGACTGAAGACATTGAATGCAGTATTGATGAATATACTTTATATAAAAAACCTCTCGCACAATCAACAAGACTAGACATAGAATGCAGTATCGATGAACAAGTATATTTATATAAAAAAAACCCTACAATTATTAAGACTAACAGCTGACCAGGCACGAGCAGTCCCAGGCCGAGGTTGGTGAGCAGCAGCGCCGCGGTCGCCTGCCTCGTCTCGTCCGTGAACACCACGACCGACACCAGCGCCGTGACCAGCCGTCCTACTGCGTCAACCCGGCTGAAGTGGCGGTGTGTCTGAAACTGTCAACACGGCTGAAGTGGCGGTGTGTCTGAAACTGTCAACACGGCTGAAGTGGCGGTGTGTCTGAAACTGTCAACACGGCTCAAGTGGCGGTGTGTCTGAAACTGTCAACACGGCTGAAGTGTTGCCATCACACATCACTTCAGCAGGTGTTGCGGTTCACAGCGCACCACAGATCACCACAGTTTGAATACGGACATCACACACGTACACATATAACCTCTGTATTTTCGAAGGTTCTAACGTGAACAAAATAATCCTCTTCATGAGAATAACGATCAAGAATAACTTGTACCAACGACCATGTCAACTACAGTAATGATCTCGCTATGATAAAATAATTAACACAATGAATAAACTATGAATAACTGTGTATTACTCTATGAAACTAAAGAGAGACTGGAAAAAGACAACTCTTACACGATAATTCAAGACCCAATGAGCACGCATCTCTTCAAGCAAAACATTGTTTTGCTATTGATAACATTTACCCCGTCAAGCCCTTAAAACCTTGGATGCAATAATTTAAAATCTTCTTTTTTTAATAAATGATTCTTTAGATGTCTTCAATTCTACGCCCAAGAAAATGCTCTACTAGGCACTAAAATAGATTTTTTTTTTCATGGAAATCTTCAATCAGATGCCCACTAGGCTAAGCATAAATTCTTCCCGAGAAAAATTACGGCAGGCATACTTACCTACCTGCATTTTGAGCTCTAATAGAAGGGAAGTATTCAACTAGACCGTAATGAATTTCAGAGCAAGAACAGTCCTCAGTTAGGAGTATTACGACAGACAAGCCTGTGAAATTTTTCGGTACATATACAACTTTTTATTGAATTATTCCAACCCAAGTCGGTTTGGGTTGGAATCCAACTTGAATACAAACTAAATTATTTCAATGACTTCATAAGGATACCTAATTACTGCAATTAACACATGCAACAGGTACCAATTTAATGAGATCAATCACTAAAATTGGTTATAAAAGTGAAGAATACAAAGTGATTGATTTAAACACGACAAAGTTATGAAAGAACATTAAATTTTTGTTTAATGAGAATATTTGGGTTATTCCGTGTAAATAATGATGTATATAGACAGTGCACGGATACCTTGATGGTGTGCAAGGAGAGCAGCAGTGCCAATACCCCCACCAAGAGGCAGGCGCCCATGAAGTCCAGGCGGGACGCGTGGGGGAAATGCAGCACCTCGAACGCCTCCTCCAGGTACAGCGACGCCGGCGCCAGCACCACCACGCTGTGACAAGACAACTCTTAGGCCAGCACCACCACGCTTTGACAAGACAACCCTTAGACCTGTAACTGGGTAGTCAGCAGATCAGTCACATGAATAGATTTCTTTCTAATTTCCAGGCCTAAATGACAAGCAGATTGAAGACACAAATGTACTAGTACAAAGGGGCTCTCAACATTCTGTTCTATATGGAGTTTTACTTTAACCCGTCATGCTGCATCAACAACAGCTGAATAAATAAACAATCGAGTATTTGCTGGATATCAACACATTTTTGTCAATGGAACTAGTTTAAAAACTGAACATAAGACTATACAGTTTGGTGAATTCCACCTGAAACTTCCTATTTAATTGCCAATTTGTGTTAGAGGGAATGGAATGGGTAGTACAGCTTAGTAGTATAATAAATAATGACTTCATACACGATGAAGATATTTTCCTTTCCAAGAAGCTATTGCTTCTCAATAAACATAGGTAGTCAAAGTTCCAAAACATTTCCCTCAAATGTGATGCCCTGAGTGCAAAGCAAACGCACCTGAAGACATAGCAGCAGTAGAGCCTGTCCACGTCGGTGTAGCGAGCGTCAGCAATTCTAGAATGCAGCCGCTGCACAGCCACGCACGACAGCGATACCATCAGCCACAGGTAAGGAGACTCGGAGAACTGCCATCATAAACATTTATGTGAGATAAAAATCTATACTACAATGCCTGCTTTCATTATAATTTCATAAGAGAGACAAGATATTTAATCAATCGAATAGTACTTTCCCTCAGATAGTACGGATTAACAGATCATTTCTTTGATATTGTGATCAGAGTTTGCAAGTGTATCATAATTCTCACATTTATTTCAAGGTCTGAAATGACAGCTGCAAGTGCAGTGAGGAGCGTAAGGAGTGCAGCCAGGACACCAATCCGTGAAATGGAAGTTTCAGCAACAGCTTTGAGCTGCGGGGGGGGATTGCTGATATTTCCTTCTCTGCGCATGCTGGGGAAAACCTCCAGCAGGTACAGCACTGAGCACAGGGTGTTGTGCAGACACAGGAACATTCCGACACTCTGCAAAATATATGCGTACTAGTACATAGTATTGGAGTTATTTAAAAACAAGTAAAAATAAGACACAGGAACAGTCCATCACTCTGCAAATATATATACAGGGTGACACAAAAAAAACAGAGCTCATAAAAAGTTGAATAATTTCCACAATACTCAAGTAATCCTGTTATTTGTTTCAGATTCATTAAGAAGACGGATTGATCTAAGAGTCTACCACGTGTGAGCTTCGAGATGCCTTGGACTACAGAGCAAAAGACATTTAATTCCATAGAATTTTTGTTTCAAACTGAATAAAATTTCAGGAGTTATAAGACTTTTAGTGAGCTCTGTTTTTTTTGTGTCACCCTGTATTCTAGTACATAGTATTGGACTTATATAAAACAAGTAAAAATGAAGAAAAATCTAATAGCGGTAGGTATAGAGCAGGTAATTTAAATATTACTAGGAGTAAGTACTATATTATACCTACACATACAAAAATTGTTCCAAAAAATGATAGTCATGTGCACTGAAATGTATATTTAATGTAGGTATATAATCATAAAAAATGAGCAAAAATATCAACAGGATAAACCAAAACACAATGAAAACAATAAAGGCACCACCATATGATAGAGACTTTAAAAACTCACTATATTGGCAAGAGCTTTAGAACTGGCCACAATACCAGCAACGAAGAAAAGAAATGATGGCAAAAGAGAGATGAATCCAGGTTTGTCAAGCGGTGTTGGAGACATGGCGAGCCAGGAGGACTTGTACAGAATAAGACGCAGTAGTAATGCTCCTACGAGGGTCTGCCATCCTTGGTAGATTGTGGGGTATGTGAAGCACAGCACTGACAACACATACTGCAAATTAGAGTGACATTAAACAAATATATTCAATTAATATCCTAGCACATAGAGCACAGCACTGACAACACATACTGCAAATTAGGGTGACATTAAACAAATATATTCAATTAATATCCTAGCACATAGAGCACAGCACTGACAACACATACTGTAGATTAGAGTGACATTAAACATAGATATTCAATTAATATCCCAACACATAGAGCACAGAACTGACAATACATTCAGCAAACCACAGTGACATTAAACAAATATATTCAATAAAACTCCCAGCACACGGTGCAGATAACACATGCAACACATGTACAATTCTGAGGAGTAATTTTACCAGATTGTGCAAAAGGCAAAGAATAAATCATTCAGTGCCAGTTTTTTAAACTGGCAATGAAGCTTCAAAAAGGTTGATAATTATCAGATTCAAGTAAGATTTGATGAATGTATTAACTGACATAGATGCCAAAACAATCTTTGTGCTGATTTATTTTTGTTATGTTATTCTCATTTAGATTAATATGAATCTCACTATAAAAAAATCAACTTACCTTATTTATGATGACTGTAGAACTGTATAAAAACAAATATATTATTGAGTGGGCAAAGTCATGTGGTGGTGTAGATGTCATTTCAGAATTGAACTGAACTGAGGTTCTATTCTATACTTATGGAAACCATTGGTTAATGCAATAAAGCTTCATCAATAGGTTTCTAGGTAAAAGAAATACAGAGTGCATACAAGGTGGATCATTCAAAAATTTAATAAAAATATCCTGCTCATCAGAAACATAAAAAAATTGATGAAAACTAATTTAGAATTCATTCTACTCAATAAGCTATAGAATAGCCATGTTTCAGTTAGAAATATTACATGTAGTTTGCTTGAGTAGATGTGCAGTTTAAGGTTACTTAGTTTGTTACTAAGGCTACATCAATTTCACAGGAGCAGCCTTTTTTTCTTGTAGGAAAGACATTTGTATAGGTGTTAACTTTATCTTTAATCTCTGACTGCAAAGGGAAGACACTTTAAGGTTTGTTCTTAACTTGACTTGCTATTTGATTATTGCTTAGTTTTTAAGATCGCTGTGCTCTTTGCCTGATAATTTTTCCAATGACAGGAGATGGCTCAACCTCAATGAGGTCCTCTCACTCCTCTGTCATTTCTGCATTCTGGGCTGTTTTTCTGACATTTTTTCCAATGATAGGAGATGGCTCAATCCTCAATGAGGTCCGCTGTCATTTCTGCATTCTGGGCTGTTTTTCCGACATTTTTTCCAATGATAGGAGATGGCTCAATTAGGTCCACCATCATTTCTGCATTGGTGGCCCCAGGAGGATCTGTTGAGTTAGGTTAGCTGACAGGGGTCAGGGAAATAGGACTAGGTAGTTATGTTGCTGGGACCTGGTAGTGGTATGGAGCTTGCTCTGGAAAAATGGGATCTGCACTCTGCAGTGGAGTCTGGAGTGGAGCTGTGGAGCCTCCAGTGGAGGAAGGTAGGGACTGGGGCACTGAGGAGCAATCGAACAGTTGTCAGCAGGGTTTATCTAGTTACTTCATTGACAATTCTTACTGTACATCCAATGATCCAAGTCATGGTGGCAATCCATAGGTTATTCAAAAGAACCTGTTCTTATGTCATTTTGAACCGATCAACGCTTCTTTACGGACCGATCGTAAAACACCTTCACCGGCAAAAGCTTTTGCACTTCTGAAGAAAGTCAGCTGACAGCTACACCTGTCTCTTATACACATCTAGATGTGTATAAGAGACAGGCATCCACTTGAAATCCTATCGACTCATTCGACTGTATAGTATACAACTTACAAGTCATAGAGCCTAAATTTTAAATATCTCTAAAAAAATTTACGTTTCTGCATGTATTATAATGCTGTTAACATTAGCAAACTTTGAATTATCTCTGATGCAAGAAATACTTGCTTAAATCATTTTATTTTCAATATAAGCGACTGGATGCAACAATCGGTTCGCAACAAGGAACATAGCCTTGACAGCAGTCATTTCGAATTTTCGATTGACCTTAATTTCTAAATTAAAATGTATTTAGCCAGTATTTCTTGCACCAGAGATACTGTCAAGTATTTCAGTGCTAACAGCATCAANTTCCCCCCCCCCCGCTGAGCCGGACCGGGCGATGCTCTTGCAAACGCATAAGTACTCACAATAATTCCCTGCCACCATGATCCAAGTTATAAGGTTGGGTACAGAGGGCAATAATGATAATCTTTGACCTGAATTAAATAAATTGAATCACTTATGGTCTGGACCCTGCCCTCCTGCACCTGCAGAGTCCCAAAATTGAACTTGAGGTTGAGGTAGAGACAGCCGTAGAGTCTAAATCTTAAAAAACTCACTGCTTTGCCACTCTTTTGCAAATCACACTTACATTCTCTATTGCCACTCATACAATTATTAAAGAAACTTTAGTTCTTTTTAGATGAACTAAGGCCCCTATACAAATAATACAATTACAACACAATTACATTTAGGTACTTACAAGTTACTCGTGTCACACTGACCCCGACTCACAGTCGTGTGTGATAATTAATGGTAATCAATGGTCATTCATTCGTTTAATACACAGTGGAAGAAATGCCACAATAGTTTTCTCTGCAAAAATTTACCTATATTCATGATTCATCTACAAGGCCCGAATTCCGTGAAATTCGTTAACCTCGTTAGTATAATATATGAGAGTGAGACGAGGTAACTCTTCCCTTCTGGCCTCCGAATAACCTCAATAGCATCGCAGAAGTGCTTTGAACTTTTCTTAGGTAAGACAAGGAGCTTCGAACTTTTGTAGATCACTCCCAAATCCTATTTATACTAACGAGCGTAAATGTCTAACTATATATGCGGTGCTGGTATGTGTTTGGATATTGTACAGCCAGGGACTGTGGGACAGAGCGAAGTGTGTGTGTGTGCTTTGTTGAAGGTGAAGAGATGACCTCACGCAGGCCGACTGTCACACCTGGACATGGCATTAATTGCTGGCTTTCCAAATTGGTTCCAAGGCGTCCAGTGCTTGCAAGAAATTCGGTAACTGCTTTAATGATAAGATGTTGTATATGTTTTGAGTAGTCACCCCCGCCAAGTAGTGTTCGCAGGGTCAGGGTCTGTATGCCCAAGCCAAACAGAGTGCGCTCTAATGTCTGGCGCCCCACACTATATCGACTGCACTGTAGCATAAAATGTTCTATGGTTTCAGAGCGAAGTAACTTGCGTGCGTCGTCAACCATAGCTCGAACCGGAATCCAAAATCCTAAATTCCCAATGCACCGCAAAAACGAATACGTACACAAACACCCTGATACGGATTGCTGAGCATCCGCAAACAACAATTACAACCGTGATTTAGCATAAATAATGCCTTTATAGAGGCACGGCCGTTATTATTTTCACTTTATAATCTACTTCCAAGGAATTTGAAAACAAAGAGAACGCCAAGTAAATTTACCATATCGATATTGAAAAAGTTTCGGAGTCTAGCTCCATCGTCAGTTCGACAATCTTGAAAATTAAAACAATCATTATAGTTCAACATCTTAAGTCAGACAATAAAACCTAAAATTGACAAAGGAGAAATAAATTAAACCTAAAATAAAAAACAATCACAAAAAAACACTAGAAAATAAACCATAAAAAATAAAAACTAGCGATTCACTATTTCAAGATGATAAGAACCGCGTGCAATATTGAGACACGGTTTTCGTTTGAACATATGTAGTGATTCCAGAATCCTAAAGTCCAAACTGCCAGAGGTGGAACTGAGTATCCAGAAATCACTCCCTGATACATCCACGTCGCACTGCTTAGCATGGAGGCGCACAGAAGAACTATAAGACTGAGGATTTAAGAACTCAATCTACTTCTAGAACTTTTCTCAGTTTTTCTAAAATGTTTTTACTGCATCGAGAAGTTAAGTATTTATACCATAAAAAAAACTTCCTGAAAGTTACCGCGAACGAGAAGATATCGGCCCCTTATACTGTCATCGTGTACAGGCTTACTTGCCAGATAGTCACCAAGCGGCCGACATTTAGGTGCTTGTACACGGGGATAGTGCAGACGGCTGGTAAATCTGGCCACTGTCGGTCGCTTGGTGACTATCTGGCATGTATGTCTGGGTCAGTTCACGAGGAGAGTTTAAGTGCCGCTGGCTTCTCGTTCGCACCGTTGCCAGATGGCATATTTCTTTACCAGATTTCACAAATCTGGTATTTTCAGGTGTCTGGTATGCTTATTTTACATCTGGTATATTTGCCTAAATTTGATATTTTTCTGACTTACTACAAATTTACAGCATGAAGTTCCACCTCTGAAGTTTGAACTTCCTCCAGCGTAGGTGTGGATTATATAGATTACCTTCAGACCAGCCGTCACCAGAGCGACTAGAGGTTTCCCGTCATTTTTGGAGCCGCAAGTTTACCTCTTGATGAAATAGCCCCAATTTAATTGTTCACATTTAACAAAAGTGCTTAATGCAATATGAGCACGAGAGTGATGATCCTTGATTGATTACTGATTGATTACTGACTGTCGAACCGATCTCTGCTACGCAAGCTCCACCATTTTTGTTTGGTGGTTTTGAATTCTAGAGTGCCACTTGAATTCTGGGGTGCCATTCATTATTTCACTGATCTTGACAATTATCATCCATTCAGGGAACTGGCTGCCTACTGCATCACTTGTCTACTCTGACCTGTCTCCAATGCATTCGTGGAGGGAGTGTTATCGCAAGTCACCTATGTGAAAAACAAGCAACGAAATAAAATTTCAACTAATGTACTAGAGTCCTTTATTCGGACCAAAAGCTATCTGCTCAACCACAACAAGTAATCACACCCGAAATGTTAGATTAATGCAATATGCATGCATGTACACTTATAAGCAAAAGGAAAATGTCCAGTTTCCGGGGCTTTCTCATGTTGAGCGAAGAGGAAGAAGTGCCAAACTGTGATAAGAAAAGAAAAAAGTGTCAATGTAATCAAACACAGGAAAAGAAATATGTCAAAATATTCCAGAAGGAAAAATATAACCTGTTCAATTTGGCTAATTATCGTCAAGCCAGATAACTGCACAGTACATAAGATACATTTTTTTTTCTTTTTCTAACCAACGGTTCTGACGAATAGTTTCATTAAATTTGGAGGTATTAGTCTGTTTTTAAACAATAGAATTTTTGGTATATTTCTTGTATTTTGAGCTAGGTAATCTGGTATTCTCGCCAAGAAAAAACCTGGCAACACTGCAGTCGTTCGCGCCTGCCAGTGCGTCGTTAGCTTAGAAGCCGTCTAGTAGCTAGTCAGCGAAGATGGATAGAGGGATCACCTTCAACAACTCGAATCTGTACGTAGTTTTTAGAATAGAAGTGTCGGCACTGAAGAAATAGGCCCATGGCCTGTAGCCGATTCTTGAATTTTTCGTGACTTGATTCACAAGGGATCCAGCCTTTGGAACCCGATCTTTCCATAACTGACGATTGATTGAGATAGCTGCAGGACTTATTGCC